AAAAAAATCTTCAACAGCGTTAAGTGCAATGACAATGAGCATTAACCATAGCACGTGTTCACGTGGGCACAAGGCTTCACCGTCTTTGTGTCTCCAGCGCCTCGCACGTGACAGGTGCTCCTCGCTGGTTGACTGACTCAGCGAGGGCCGGGGGAGGGCGGCGGGTTCCGGTTTGGAACGCAGCGCCGGACGCAGAGTTGGGGTTTGGCCACGCTCGGTCGACTTCAGTCCGGACTCTTCCGGGCTGTCCGCCTCCCGAGACCAAAACAAGCCGGCAGAGCCGGCGGGGCGGGAGCGCGCGGCGCGGGGCATGCCGGGCGCGGCCCAGGTGGGCAGGTACCTGGGCGGGGCGCGCCGCGGTTGGCGTCGGGGTGGCCGGGCGGTGGCCGCGGGGGCCGAACACCCGGAAGAGCCGTCCCCTTAGCGAGCGCAACAGGCGGCCGCCGAGGGGCTGGGGCCCGTGGGGAGCAGGCCCGAGATGGACAAGCTGAAGAAGGTGCTGAGCGGGCAGGACACCGAGGACCGGGGCGGTCTGTCCGAGGTGAGTGTGCCCGGGGCGCTCGGCCCCGCCTCGCCACCCTCCCCGGCCCCACGGCCGGACTGCCGCCGCCGCCCCGGCCCGGGCCTCGGGTGTCCGCGGATGGCGGCTGAGAAAGTGGGGCAGGACTTCCAGGATTTCTTGGAAAGCAGCTCTGCCCCTCTTCTGTCCTCCTCCCCTGCAGGGTTTCGCGAGGAGCCGCGCTCCGGGTGCCAGAGCCCAGGCACTTTGCACAGGGCCGTCGGCATCTGTGTCCTTTTCTGCCCTGCGCCCCTTCAGCCCGTCCCCCACAAAGAGAGGGCGGCGCTGGAACATCTGCGAGCGGGAGGCCGGGCCTCCGGGCCGTCGGCCCCATCCCTGCAGACCCGGGAAAGCACTTTAGGGCCGGGCTAGGCAGGGGCCCCCGCTGGGTAGGTCGGGTCGCAGGACCGGGGGTGGCGGTCCCGCAGCCTTCCCAGCTCGCTGCCCCCCTCGCGGCGGGGCCTGTGGCCGCGCGCCCCGCTCTGCGCCGAGTGTCTGCCTCGTTTAGTTGTGGAGTGTGACACTCCCACCTGACCTGTACCTTTTGGTTGTACAACCGTCTCTACCACAGGAGAGCAGGGACCACGTCTTGTTTTCTTGTTTCTCTTTGTCCACACCGTCCGCACGTAGACTCTCTGCGGACACCCAGCGCCTCGGGAGACTTATCTACATGTTTGTTTGTTTCATTAGAAAGGTTTTGTCGAGCTGGAACCTGGCCACGGATGCCCTGTGTTCTAGAACCACACAGAATGCTGTATTTCTATTTTGGGTGCTTTTAGCTTTTGCTTTTGTTTTGCTTTCTGGTTGACATAATAACTTTTCTCTTTTTGGTGTTTTCTTTCGCCTGTTTCCCCACCTGTAAAATGAGGGTGTTGAACAAGATGATATGGCCTCTTTCAGCTGGAAACCCGAGTTTTCCTTCTCACTCTAGTGTTTCTCGTTTTCTCAGCAAGCTGCTTTCACCCACTTTTGTGGTTGCTGATTCTTTTTTTTTTTCTTTTTGGTCAAACATGAAGCATGCAAGTGGTTGCTGATTTTATTCTGGGTTTTGTTTTTTATGATACTGGTACCTCCACCCCCTCCATGAAATCTCAGAATGTAAAACTTGTTCTCTGAGTTTTCACCTTGCAGTAACACTATAGGAATCAAATGTTATAGGAATTGAGGTTTAACTTTTTTTTTGACATTTCAAAATAGCTTGGTGAGTTCTTTTTAATTTGTTGCCTTTATTAGTTGGTCAAGGCTCAGGAGTAGTTTCATGGATTCTTTTTTCTTGATTTCTAGCTTATATTATGAACTCTCAAGTTGAACCTAAGACCAGGCCTAAGAAAGGTCTGACATTTAAGTATTGCTGACCCTCATTGTTGTATAAAAACTTTATCCCCATTGACTGGCAACTAGCTTTTATGAGCAGTTGGTGCTTAAGAGGGAGACACTTTCTCTCCCTGAAGACTTCTGGGGGCTCTTCACTGTTGACAGGGGGATGATACAGATACCACACATTTAGAAAATCATCATGATGCCGTGGAAAACCTTCTAGAGTGCACGATGCAGCAAAGTCTGAAAACAAATGCTGAGCTTGTTTTTACCTAAAATGGTGAGTGCCTGCGCTGAATACAATGAAGGTCTTTAATGTGTTGTAAGCTCAGGCACGTATTAAATCTATTTTTAAAAGAATAAGTGCTTCTCTCTTGTTCTAAAATACTTCGGGCAGTTTCCTCTTTCTGAGCGAGATTTCTGTTTATGTGCATCATTGTATGGCACTTCCGGAGTCTTGGATTCCTGGGAAGCATTTTGTTGCCGACTGATTTCATCTTCAGGGCTGTTTTGGCTTAGATTTTACTAATTTTGGTCAGGGCCTCCTTTATAAAATATCTGATTTTATTGTCACATTTTCCATAGTGTTGAGGCTGGCAAAGCTGGAGGAGTCTGTGGTGAAGTTTCTGTCTTGTGTGGTGAGTTTGATGGGGTGGCCTTAAAATCTCTTCAGGAGGTCATCAGAAGAGAGTGCTCTTTACCATTTTTATTCTTTTAATGCAAACCATTAAAGTGTGATTAGTTCTGTTTCTCCTGCCTCTCCTTGGTAGTTATAAAATTTGCATGGCTGTGTCTAATCATAGCCTCATGATGAATTTTCTAATTAATGCCTCATCTTCATAAATACACCTTAATTAAGTCTTTAGTTTTAATGGACTTCTTAAAGTATAGGTTTTATGTTTTTCATAAAGGATTCTAGGGACGAGGAAGATATGACTGCTACCTGATTTTAAAGCGCAGGAATAAAGCAGTATTCCTTTCTTACCTTCTTCTGCTTACCAACCCTGTTTCCCTGGACACTTCTTAGCTTTACTTCTTGGCAAGGTCCCCTTTTCTCCACATCCCAGAGTCAAAGGACCTTTGTGCGTAACTGCCGACTGCTCGCGAGCACATGGCCTACAAATTCTATCCAGGTACTTTTAGCTACTCAAATTTCAGAAAAAGTGCACTAGCACAGCTTCCAGCAACCATGAATTTACAAAGATATTTTATATAAACTGAGTTTTTGTTTTCATAAATTGGCAAGAAGAAGTGTTTTGCTTAAAATAGAAGTGGAACAACAGCGTCCTCCTTCCTTGACAAAGGATGTGTGGAAGAACTTGCAACATGGACACGTAGTCCAAAAACACAGTGGTGAAATTTTCCCCACCCCCCAACATTTTGGCAAAAAAAAGTAACATTTGGATGGATTCAGCTTGAGAGACTTAGAGAACTGAAGCGTCACTTTCCTTTCCAGAGGGAGAAACCAGGGTCATATTTTTGGTGGAACTACTTCGTATTGCCAGTGATTTTGATTTTTATGAGGACTCGAATCTCACTGTCCTGTAGAGAATATTTAGCACTTTAGATGACAAGGCCAATTCAAATCTGGTACCTAAACCTTATGGTGATCCTCCTTAAGAAAAGAAAAAAAGAGGGAACCTTTTCGAATATCCCTGTTGATGCCAAGTACTGCTCAGGCTCCGGTCCAGTCCTGCTACCACTTTTTTCTCCCCACGTGCAGCTTGGTTCTTTTTTCCAACCTGGCGACGTAAGTTCTTTGGTTCTTGTATGAATAGGAAGAGTGGTAGCTTGTCATTTTATTCTGTCCTTGGTGGGAGGTTAAACAGGTCAGTCAGAAGTGGCCTAACTAGATTGTCTGGGCCTGGTAAAGCCTCATAACAGAGCATCTTCACGTGGCTCATTTTGGAGCTTGAGGACTCCTTATGGAGAAGGGATTTTCCTCAGCATGGAACGTGATGGCTCATCTGTCAGGTCCTCACACTGTGCTGCCTGCTACACGTTACCCTCCCTAAGTGTGCCTTCTGTGCAGGGTCATGTGTTGCCACATGTTTCTGCAAATGCTGTGTGTGTGTGTGTGTGTGTGTGTGTGTGCGCACGCGCGCGCTATTGCAGTATCATAAGCCCAGTTTCAATATGTGTGAATATTTGGGGGTTGGAAGAGAACCTTTTTTGATAAGCTGACCTAAATACCTTTCTCCTGTGTGAAGGTTAAACCATTCTGGCAACACCTGCCACACCTGAGGAAGCCTTTTCAAGCTTCTGGTTTGACAGGAACTTTGGAGACAGGGTTGAAAACGAGCCCCTGAGCTGGGGGCAGACTGAGGCAATTGGCAGTCTAGTGACCTGTGCACCCTCTGCCACCACTGCCTGCCTCATCGGCTGGCTGGAAATGTGGTAGGCAACTTTGACCACATTGCCAGATGGGGACCGTGCTGGCCGTATAAGGGGAGCCCTGCAGGAGTATACCTGGGCCTGGCTGCCCTGCTGTGGCTTTGGTCTCTCAGTGGCAGCCGTCTGTGTCCAGCTTGGAGCAGGTGTGCCCGTTTGCAGCAAGTGGACAGACTAGGAAGGTCTCTGGTGCAGAGACTTGGTTGTCGTCTTTAACATGGGAAAGGAACCACTGAGAGCTGCTCATGGGCTCTCCCATTCCAGTAAAGTTTTTCTGGAAGTCTCGGCTTCCTCTGAACTTTGCTCTGGGGAGTGATTTATCATGACGGCAGAGTCAGAATGAGCAGAGCAACAATTACTAGGACCCGTCGCGCTCGGGTGGCTTGGCTGATGCCAGCACACGGTAAGTACAACATCTGCACCGAGAATGAATACCATGAACGAGAGTCCTGATCGGATGAGAGCCTTAGCCCTCCGAGGTCCCAGAAATGCTGCAGCCTGGCTGGTTGATGTAGGAGAGAATGACCGGCAGGCCAGCTGCCTGGGTGCCATCCCCTCGTCTTTTCCCTATTTTGGGGGACCCTGCCTGGTGGATGGCTTTCCAGTTGTGTTCCTCATGCTGCTTGGGCTGTGGTCAGACTTTGGGCTACTCTAGAGCCTACTGTCTTGCCTTCCTGTTTGTGAAATGGGTTGAGCTTGACGCAGGGGGTCTCCA